TTTTTTTTTTTTTTTTTTTTTTTTTTTTTTTTTTTTTTTTTTGCTGTAGCTTGTACAGAGTGTGTGGGTGTTGGGCTAACACTTGTGGCTCAGTATTAACCGGAACCTTCTTGCTTTAAAGGGGAAAATGTCCTTCTATGGTTTGTTTGTTTGTTTTTTCCCTTAAAGCTATGTTTGACTTTTGTATACAATGAACCTAGTCTAATCACAGAAAACTAAAGGATTATATATATATATTTATATTTATATAAATTTCCATATATCATGAATGATGTGGGGTGGGGGTTATGGCAGCAGCTTTGACAAATGACATGTAAAACAATACGATTTGAGCTGAACCACCCCTCCCTAAAATCACTTCCAGGTAGGGCAGAGACAAAAGAGGATAATTAAAATTAAGTTGATTCTAGTCTTCACAAGCTTGAACAACGGAAATGCTTGGTAGTGCTTTGTTATGGCTCAGCATCACTTATGTCTCTAAAATATTCCAACATGAGACAGATGTGTAGAGGTAAACTTTTATTCTTGGCAATTTTGATCAATTGATATTTGTAAGAAATTTAGCACTCACAATATATTATGAAGAGCCCAGAAAGTATCTGTGGTGGTAAAGTGGCCAACAAGACTATCAAGCAGACAGTTAATTAATGATTCTGAGTGTCTGCTCTATACTAGGCCTCTTGCTAGGAGCTTCAGAGGAAATTGAGAATGGTACATCTCCAACTGCCTTCTAGCACTACTCAAAAGCAGTATCATTGACACTTTAGTAACTAATTTGTAATTGAATGCTGTTTTGCTACAAGGTTATATGAGAACTGCACATGAAAATCATTTTTAAGATATTGCATACCACATCCTCTGGAATTTTTTTTAAAGCATAATTTGAAGTTCCCCTTTAAAACAAAATTCTTCAGTTGTATTTTGTTCTTGCAAAATAACTTATTTTTCACAAATTTTGTGCATATATAGTCCTTTGGTCTGAAGGAAAAATGTGTCACCTTAGCTTTACAATTTGCTCATGATTTGGATATGGTAGGGGAAATGACAGTGATGTAAGAGAAAAATACAACTGTTTCCTAAATAGCAGTGAGCAAACTGCTATTTATGTGGGAATTCTCCATTCCTCTTGGCAAAATCTAATCTGCAGTGTGCATTCCTGTTGATAGTTTGGCTGTTTTCTGTGACTCTGTGGCTCTGTGTTGTGTTAAGTATACTCCCAATGTAAATTGCTAACCCCCACTGTCTGACCAGCAACTGGAGCAGAGCACTTTCTTCCATGCAGGGTAGACAGATTCAGGCAGCAAAGGAGCCCCATCCTGAACTAGCCATGGTTCCGCTAGATTTGGCTAGATTTCCTATGCTCCCACCCTATCATATGCAAAACCCAGAGAGCTTTCACCTTTTTTTAATGAATGAAACAGTCTCATGATTTATCAGGACCAACTTTTGACTATGAGATGATGTCATTTAGAAAAAGACTAAGGTGTCTCTTATTTTTGCCCCATAAAATAATTGAGTTTGTTTTCAGGGTGGGTGCTCATTAGACAACTCCATTATTTTTCAGTTTATTACCAAATTCCAGAATTAAGAAGCTTTGCTTTGGGCCTTGGTCTTTCCCCATCTCCACTTGTTCTTCTTCTCACACTTGACTAATCGCCATTATGCTAACCTGAAAATGCAGACGGGGAACAATCTGTTTTTCTTTCTAATGAGCTTTTAAACACCTGTGTAAATCTTTTAGGACTGTCATCTGTGCTAGTGAGAGGCTGCACAATTTGTGTCCAAGTGGCTGGCAAAGTCTCAGCTTTACACTGAAAAAATAAAGTGGGGAGGATACATGACCCTTGAAATTGTGCTTAATAAGCCACGGAGACGCAGCCCAATTCGGCATTGGTGGCTGGCCACCTGTAGGTACCTAGCTCGCCCTTCACAGGAAGTAAAGCAAACTGATGTCATTGGTTCCCCATCTGTGTGTTTTATTTTCAGCTCACTGTTGGTGCACCCACTGAGGAAGTTACTAAGTTTTTCAGAAATACCTCTTGTATCTCTGTAGCACACTCAGGGTCATTAGAAGACAACGCATGAGAAGTCAAGGTTTTAATTAAAAGAACCAAAACCAATTCAAGTCATTTTTGCTAAAAATTGTTGAAGACATTCACCTCTGGTTCTTGCTCTACTGAGAGTAGGTTTTCCTTGGTTAAGGCAGTCATGGGTACCAGATGAGCATCAGTTTGACCTGTTTGCTGCTGAAGGGCAGAAAATGCTTCTCTACTGAGCCATCAGTCTTTATTTTTGAGTTTCTCTAGCCTCCTGGCCCACTATACATAGGCTAAGTGGGAAAACAGCTTATAATTTCATTTTTCCCCATACCATTGAGTTAAGATCTTTGTCAGATTTGGAGATGGGAAAAAAAAAAAAAGTCCCTGTCAATTCCTTTTCTAGTTCCTTGGAGCTTCTGCTCTAAACCATGGCTAGAGTTCCCAGTAGAGCAGAAAGGGCTTCCTCCGAAGTTGCCATCACTAGCACAGTGTTAGATTAAGAATGAGGAAATGCAGTCTATTTAGCCCAGCGTATTAATGGATCACCATACCAGTGATGTGGCCCGTGTTGCTGGATCCAGAAGCCTGCCCCTGGAACAGCTTTTCCCTTGACATATTCCACTGTGAATTTCTGTGGTCTAAACTTTGATGAAGACAAGAGAAATGCTTACAACTTAATCACTGCAAGAGGACATTTTGGTTGGCAAGAGACATTGGCTGTTTTCAAACCCTTGGTTCCCTCCAGTATGGTAAGGAGTCTGTTGTGTTGTCTTCAGGTCCCGTCACGTTGTTCTCCACTAAAGGATTCCCACCCACCACGAAGTTTCTAACCTCACCTGACACAGCTACGGTTCGCTTTGTGATGCTCCACCTAACCTAACTCCTTTCTCTCTTTTCTTAATGATTTTCTGTTTAGCTATCAAAGGATTTTCACCACAACATAAGATCACTAGCTTCGAAGAGGCGAAGGGCTTAGACCGAATTAACGAGAGGATGCCACCTCGCAGAGATGCCATGCCCTCCGACGCCAACCTTAACTCCATCAACAAGGCTCTCGCCTCAGAGACTAACGGCACGGACAGCAACGGCAGTAATAGCAGCAATATTCAGTGACCACTTCCTATTCACCTTTTTTTTTTTTTTTCTTGAGCTGCAGGTCATGATGGGATTGCTGCATCTCAGCAGTTGGATTTTCTTGCCTCTGACGGTAGCTTTGCTCTGGGGGCCAGGAATTGGATTCAGTTTACACTATCATGGAAAAAAAAAAAAAGAGGGAGAGATAATAAACTATATTTTGGTGAGGGTGGTGATTAAACACCTCTTTTGGGTATGCCTTTTAAAAAAATGCTTCTAGGAAAAAAGTTTTAAAACAAAAGCTAATGCTAGTCTATACTGCAATGTTAGGGGAATGAACATGTTTTCCTACTGCACTAGGGACTTCTAGATAGGTTAATGAAAGGCCTTTTATTCTGTTACTGGACACGAAAACTTTGTCTAATTTCTTATACTCTATTGTACGTTTACAGTGCAGCACTAAAAATGGATGACGTCAAACATTTTTAACAACAACAACAACAAAAATGATGTACAAACTAAATAAATAAGGACTATTTATTGATAAGGTTTTGCTACTCTTGTCAGACAATGGCTATAAACTGAATTAGGCAGTCTTTAAAAAAAATCTGGAAAAAAAAAGAATGTTGCAAATTTGTTAAAATGCCAAAAAAAAGGAGTTTAATTTTGTATAGCTCGTGCTTACCTCAGGTTCCTTTAGTTTGCTTGAATGCCCTTCTTTCCATAGAACACTTATTAATTTGGCAGTGAATACATTTTCTTTAAGTTTTAAAAAAAACTGGAATAACTACACCCATCTTTTTTGCTGTTTATATTTAGGGGTTTTGTTGATAAATCAAGTCTTGGTTGTGGCTTGCTGAATTCAATATTTATGAGTGGTGCATTTTAAGTATAGTGAACACGACACCATAGTGCAGTGACGAAGCATCTATATTCTGTAAAAAACAAAAACAAAAAAAATCTGCCTATGCATGTTTTTTAAGAAAAACTAAAATGGCTGTATCGGCCTGTATGGGACTGTATTGCGCTTAGTGGTCTGACATATACTGGAAATGTATGTATACTGGCGTACTTTATATTCTCTAAAATGCTTAATGCCTTTGAAATTTTGTAATCAAAAAATGCTTTGAAAAAAATCTAAAGGGGAGAGTATTCTTAAAAGTTTTTAACATAAGCTTGTCAGTGCACACATAGATGGTTGGCATGTTTAGCAAACTTTGTGAAATTTAAATAAGTTTGTAGTTACATGTGAAACTCTAAATGCATGGTAACCGTTAATGTCATAACAGTTTAGTTATTTCGTTCTGTTCTGTCATGTGCCACAAAATATGTACTTTTTTCACTTTTTTTCCTCTTTGTATATTAGTTACGGGTTACAACTGGTTCATTCTGAAAACAACAACAAAAAACAAAAGTCCATTCATATTTTTTAACAATTGTATAAGTGCCCAAGTCATTCACTACAGCCTAAAGCCTTGCCTTTGTAATTTGACTTCTGAACTGTTGGCAATCAAAGCATGCACCTGTAACAATGACAAAGAAAAAGCATTTTATATTACCGCTCAATAAAATGTGCATGAACTTCAAGAATGCTCATCCTTTCACTGAGTCTGCTGAAGGGAATCTTGTGCACAACCACCATGGTGCCCTCTGGGTGCTGGCCCTTCACCACCCTGCTCACTCATGACGGGCTGCTCCCCAAGGGCCTCATGATCTGAGGAGTGCTACCCACTTCTGCTGTAAAAAAAAGTCTTGGTGGATTTGTGTCTCAAAAATCAGGCGAGAGAAATCTACTTAAAGAGCAGATGCCATCTTCAGGCTCCCTTGAATGCAGGACCTATTTAAGAAACTAGAGCATCCCTTTTAATTGGAGAACAAGAAATAATCATCAACTTGTTGTCAGGTTGTTTCAGTTGTATGGGTTGCCCTCCCTGCTATAGCAAAAAGGACTAGTCTCCTAAACGCATCGCCATCAGAGAAGAGCTGTGTTTGTATTGACATGAAGTTTGTATTCCCCTGCTTTAGTTATCATCACACGGAGATTTAGGAGACACCACAATTCAGTTTGTTTCTAACATTGCTCTATTTTTCAGCGCACTTTGTTTATGTAATAAATTATGCCTATTATATTAAGGAATAAGAATATGACAATTAGTTATAGAGTGTACCAAAACAAAGATACATTTGCTACCAAAAACTTCCCCATGGTTATTTGAATGAATTGAAACTTTTTTTCCTGTGGATACTTCCCCATCTTTAAACAAAAGTGGCATCCAAGGAAAACAGATGCAACTTGCTAAAATGGTGTGAGAGAAATGGTGATTCTGCTACCAATGTGTGTATTTTCTTTCTTCTAACTGCAGAGAAAATATCCCAAAAATATTAATAATAATAATAATAATGATCAGGTTTTTTGGATTCCTTTCTTTTGCAAATTGTGCTAAGGAAACTATGGCATAGAAATAAACATTTGACATTGAAATAAGCAGTTTCTGTGAGTATTGCTTGTCTTTTTGCTCAGTATAGGAAAGAGACACTATTTTTTCACAGAATAATTGGATCTGTCAAATTAATATAGAGCTGAAGCTCTTTCTCCAGAATCGACAACACTTACAAATACTTGTGATTAGTTCTGTCTCTTTAAGATGTGGACAGATGGTTGCATTCATGCATTCTCTTTCTGGGTGCCTGGGTACCAACACACACACATATGTATGTATGGGCACTCAGACAACCACACTCTGATCCCCAGCTGCCTTTGCCTGGGCCAGGGTGACTCACTTATCACAGGGTATCATTGCTGCTGAATTTTTATGTAGTGTTTGGAGTTCTAAGAGCTAGATCTGCTAGTCCTGCCATGGCAAATTTTCTTGTCTGAAATATATTCATCTTGCATATATTTTCAAAAAAAAATTAAAAAAAAGAACTCAAGAGGCTCACCTGAGATGAAACTCAAGTGTGATGTCTTAGTCTATCTACAACCTATCACATAGACCTCAAACCTGAAGATACTTTCTTTACCCTGGCGATGTGGCCATCTCCTTCATTCATTCTATAAGCAGTATATTTATGCTCTACCCCTCTCACTATGCCATGTCTCATTTTTCATTCTCACTCCTGTACATGCAAATGCATGTGTGTGTGTTTTCATCCCTCTCACTATGCCATGTCTCATTTTTCATTCTCACTCCTGTACATGCATATGCATGTGTGTGTGTTTTCATGTGTGCTCATGCACACACACACACACACACACACACAACCACTATGTCAGGCATATATATGAGTTTTTATTATAATACTAAATGTCAGCATTCTGTAGGACAGTGAGTCAGTGTTGCGCTTACCATGGACTGATATTCACTGTGTTCCGTGGGCACTCCCTCATGTTTTCTTTTTAAATAGCATAAACCAGCAACACCCCTGATTAGGTCCTTGATGATATGGTCATTTTTTTTAAAGCATACATAGTACCAAGAGGCACAAAATCAAGAAAGATGTAGCTATTTCTGGTGGCCATATTGTCAAGAGGCAGCTGACAGTGTTTGTGAGGCACTTGTGTTTAATGATGGAGAGCGAGCAGTGAGTCTGTTTTAAGAAAAGACTGGGGAAACTTAACAGGTAAACAACAAAGTCTAGTTAGCAATGGTATTTCAGAAGACAGTGCTGACATTGGAAAAACATCTACTTACTATAAAGGAGGAGTTGCTCTGAAATGAGTTTGGCATCATAAATGCCTGCCTTCTAAGAGAAACCACATGAAATGGGTTAGACACCCTGCCTGGGAAAAAGGAGCTGACCTCAAGGATGGCAAGTAACCTGCACTGTAGCTCAAGACTGAATGTTCCCTCAACTAGAGGGTTCAGAATATTCTGTCAATTTATTCAATATAAACTAGTCCTTCAGAACATGATGCTTGCAGTCACACTGTCTCGGGGATGACCTGTGCATTAGCTAACGAAGACCTCTGTGAGTTTTACACATTGGGTATCCTTTATACATAGACAAAAGATAACAGCTGAAAAGAGTTTTCATTAGATTGACAGGGAGAAAAACAAAAGTTGAGTTAATAAGCTAAGATCTCAGAACAAAGTTGAGTTATACTCCAATCTGAAGGCATTCTTTCCAAGTTACACAGACTGAGCATCCCTTGTCCAAAATGCTTAGAAGCCAGAATGTTTTCAATTTTAGGGCTTTTGAGATTTTGTAGTAAGGTTGTATATACCATTGAGATCCCAAATCTGAAATCTGACATACTCCAAAATCCAAAATGCTTGGGGTTATTTCACAAAGTTTCGGCATGCACACTTTTGCCTTTGAGATGCTCAGTTTATATTTTCAGTTTTTTAATAACCAAAATGCTAGAGATAACCAGGAATTAGCCTTGCCTCTTCAAGGCGACATACATGCAAAGTTACCTTGTGACTCTCATTAGCCCTATGACTTTCCATTCTCTTCACTACTTGACCTCTGCTATCTTGGCCTGCACACAGTGCTTGGGTGACCCTAGCTTTTCAGCCCTCTAGATATTCCTTCATTCCTGCATTCTGTCTGTGGAATGGCTTTCCCCTGAAGATGTCGTGTTTGTCTTCAGCACTGGGGTGAGCCACACCCTCCTTCCTGTGTTTCAATATTTACTCCACTTGCATGATTCTCTTTGAAGTTTTGGCATGAAATATGGCCACTTGGTATCTCTTGGAGGAAGGAAAAGGCAATCAAGAATATAGGTTTCCTCTGCATGTTCTCACAGCGTGGGATACTCTAAGACCCCATACAGCAAATATGTAAGAAAAAAAATGGGTTAGTGTTTTGCCATTGAAGGGTCCAAGTCCCCCTATAAAAATTCCCTAGAGTCAAAAATCAAGTGGAGCCTTATTTTATCCTACCCCTCTAGTCATAACTGCTATATCCACCATTACAACTTGTTTCTACAGAATTTACTTTTTAAAAATGCATTTGAGGGTCAGCTTAGCAAGAAAAAACATGACCAAGCAAGAGAACCTTCATTCAATATTCAGTCCCTAGAACCCACATAGTGG